TATATATATATGTATAAATTGACGAGTTATTCCTATAAATATCCTCTAAAATCTGCTGTGATAAATCAATCACTCTTAAAAACAAATTCGCGATTTATTCAACTTTAGGCACCAATGGTATGCAGACCCTGTCTTTGGTACATATGACCGATTCGATTTTTGTTCATATCTGAATAAAGAAGACGGACTATCACAGTCTTCTGCATCTGAATATACTTATTTCATAGCGATTTCATCGTACGGATACTTCGTCCTTACATTTTCCTTCGTTCTTGCACGTTCAATGCAAAGAATTTGTATTATTACATTTCGTTTATCTGTATGATACAGTCCTAAAGCACGTGTTCATTAACAAAAAACTCAGTCTTCTTCCTTCTTCTCCGGCTTCAAGTCTACCATTGCGTGTATCTCATCAGGACTGTATCTGTAAAAATATAAAAAAAATATAATAATTAATATTATATCTTCAATTTTAAATAAAAATTAATATATTGTGTTATTAAAATTGTAAAAATATAAAAAATAAATTAAAATATAGTCATTTAGCAAGATTGATGTGCTTAAATTTGTCAATGTATAAAGTTTATTTAAAATTTTAAACAATTGCAATATATATGTGTTTATAATTACCCTAGTAGACTTTGTAAGTCGCATACAAAGCGATATACGTATCGCTTGCCAGCAGTTTTATGTATAATATTCTTATCGTAATAATAGCGTAAGCCTCGGCTCAACTTCTCGTAGTTCATCTTGGGTTTGTTCTTGCGAATACCCCAACGGCGTGCAACTTCGTCCGGATCGGTCAGTTTGAATTCCCAGCCGTCGCCAGTCCACGAAATGAAACCTTGACACGCTTTGTCAGTTAAAAGCTCCAGCAAAAATTGCCATAGCTGAATCGGACCTGATCCAGTGAAGCATGGTGGGCCGCCACCTAAAAATATACCATTTGATATATTTTAAGATTCTTTATTAAGGTTCTCTTAATATCAAAATACTATTAAACAGTAAAACAACTTTTTAATAAAATATAATGAAATGTTTAGATCCATAAAAAAGAATTGATTTGAATAGTTCACTACTAGAGCATATGTTAAGTAATTGTCAAGCAAAAGATTTGATAATGATTACTGAGAATAATTATCTCATATAAACATATATAACAATATGAGAAATTTTGAATGGGAAAATATTTCACTGTGATAAAAATATTAAAAACAAAATATCTCCAAATTATGAATTTAATGCCAAAGTAATTGAAGATAAATAAATGCTCTTTCTCTCTTTTAGAAGACAGAAAATCTCCAAATGATAATAAGAATAAATCGGGGAGTTGGTAACAGAGGTAATTTTTGTACAAGGGCTATAAGAATTCAGTGGCAAACCTAAAATTTCATTTAGAAATTTTAAGTAATTCAAAGTAATTCATAAATCTAAATCTTTAGCGTTCTCAGATAATTTTAGGTAATCTAATAAAAAATCCTAAGTAATCTAAGAATAATATATCAAATAATTCTTAAGGTATTCTTAAATCTCAGACATTTAATATATTACCCTTAGATTATTTAGGATTTCTTATTAGATTATCCAAGATTCAGATTATTTGTTCAGTCTCAGTTTAATTTAACACCACATTTGTAAAACTGTTTAACAAAGAGTTTGTGTTACTTGGTATTTTTTAAAAATATTTTTTATTTTATAAAATATCTATTAATATCTATATTAAATTGGATATTATTTTGTTAGTATTAAAAAATCTCAAATGAGTAGTTATGAGTAGTCGAACTTGTTACTAGCTATACATATATATAATGCATATTCTATTTAATTTAATACATATTGCGAAATTTTTATATTTTTGTGTATCTGTATACAATAAATATTTGTTTTGTAAAATTGTATTTTTTTTTCTTAAGCAGTAAAAATGTTCTTGAAGAAGTACTTATCATAGGTCTATAAAGATTTTTAGAATGATTTGAGGAAATATTATGTACTTGTATAAATTAATCTTAGATAAGCAAAGTAAATTTGAAAAAAATCTCGGGTAATCTCAGAAAATATGACATAATTTTAAATATTCTAAGATAATTTTGGGTAATATGAGACAGTATTTAATAATCTGGAATAATTTGAGGTAGTATTAGGTAATCTTAAGTAATTTAAAGGTAATCCGGATTCAAAGATTCAAATTTTTGTACACTATAACCGCTCGTGATCAATCTCTCAAAATAAATAAAAAAATGTAGAAGAAAAATTTATTAGCAAAATATGTTATCAAAATTGAATTTACCTGGATAACCAGTGAGCATTGAACTCTGCAGTAACGGCTTTTGGTCTGCATTATTAGCGATAGATGTGGGATGATGAGGATTGGAGGAATCTCGTGGTCCAAGTCCCGCAAGAAATGCGGGATGATGAGGCAGATGATCCCCAAGCCCGACACTCCATTGGTCACCGACGCTGCCGCCTCCAGCACCGCTTCCGCTTCCGGGAACCGTTTGGAACGGCGTTGCATCGTACTGCCCGTATCCGCTGCTCTCGCTGTAACCCTCGTGGTAGCGTCCTGTCAAAGAAAAAAATGTTATTTCATTAATGTGTTAAAAATATAAACGTGCTGTGAAAAAATAAGAAAGACTAACTTGGTTAGATATATATATTTATTAAAATATTAGATACATTGATTATTATATATACAACAAACAAATTTTTAAAGGCTATAGTCTATATATAAGGCTATACTATATCTTTAGAAATTTTTTTTTCATTGTGATCTCAGTTCTTGTCTACAAACCTCGAGGATAGTTCTTGAACGGCGACGGCTGGTATTTGGGCTCAATGTGAATTCCGCTGGCGCCGTAAAAGTCTGGCGAATTGTCCAAATTGTACGGATGCGGCGCCTGGTGATCTTGTGACAAGCTGTGATATTCGGACGCCTCATCGTATCCCGAATAATGCGCCGGTGTCATGTAACTCTCCGTCGTGGTAGTCGCGCTGACTCTCAAATCGCTCTCGTTACTACCTGCGCCCGCGAGCTCGCCCCCGCTGCTCAAGCCACCGCCACCGCCTTGAAGATGCTCAGCTATGTGATGATTGCTATAGTTCGCTAGAATTTTTTTATTTTTACGAATTATATTTCTTGGATAATCTTTCTTTAACTGATGAAATTTAGTAAAAATAATAACAATACTCATAGCAAAAAAACGTCATAGTTATTATCACAACAATTATGGTTACGTTATGATGACGTGCGAATGTCCGCTTTATTACAAATATGATGTCACAGCAATGCTATGGTGATATATGAATGTCTTTGTAACATGTTATTTTGTTATGATTACAATTTCACAGTGACATCATATTTTCTTTCTGATTATTGTGATTCTATTGTGAAATCTATTGTGATCCTTTGCTATAGGGGTAATGTCTGAAATTGCACGATATTTTAACATGAATTAAATTATAATTTTATGTGTAAGTGTTGCGTGCAACTATTTTGCCACTCTATCTGTTGGAATGGAATTGGTCCATACAGTCGATCATCCGTTATTACATTAATAGCTGACCAAGAACAGAAACGAGAACTTCATGTTGTAGTAATAAAAAAAAAAATTCTGTTCTTCACTATGAAGATAATTTATTTGCGATCGAATTCCGAGAGATCGTCCATCAATTATAGTAATGATGTTATCGCGAGACTGGTAGTCAAGTATACCCATGCGTTAACTATATCATGAGAGAGAGAGAGAGAGAGAGAGAGAGAGAGAGAGAGAGAGAAATTACGCTGGTTGCCAAAACCTCGAGTGAAAATGTAATGTGTTACTCGCGAAACTCTGATTAGGATCTGTTACAATAGTTTGAAATTTTGTCGTCTCGCCGATAGAGATATAGTCTATCTCTATCCATTCGAATATCGGAATTACACGAAATTAGGTGTATTTTTACGAATTTGTTTTCCGTATCAGGATGTATCCAAAATCCTCAAATCCCCAAAGTAACAATAAGAATGAGCAACGACATAAATTATATATTATTTTAAAAATAATTTTAATAGAATCGTTGTGTTCAAAAAAATTGACAATATATTTTAGTCAGAGAGCATAAAATACACATAAAAAATTTCAATAAGCAAATTTTATTAAAAAAATAGTCTCGCGCTATTATATTGTAACAACGAAATATCTGCACACGTAATACTAGACATAAGTGAGAAACTTACATTCCGTTTTGAGCTGATTTAAATTCCTTAGATGGATGTATGCGTTGTTGGCATTGTTGTTATTGTTATTGTTGTTATTACTGTTAGGAGTACTAGAGTGAGAGGTCGGTGGTTGAGTGCTATGGCTGTGAGGTGGAGGCGACGTTTCGTCTCTTTGACTTTCGTCTTGGCACACGGGACTGCGCAGATGATTGTAGCCGCCTGCAAATTGAAAGAAATAATTCATTCTACATTACAATGTTTTAATAAATATGACAAAAAAATTAATCAATCTGATTATCAAACATGATATCAAGTTCATTTACTTTCAATATGTATCTGTCTGTAAAATGCACAAAAAGATAGAGAATCGCAATTAATTTGTCTATTATTGCATTGAGAGAAAGGATTTTGTTAATTTAACAAGCTATTAGTATCTTTAACAAATGACTTGTGATAAATACGTGACAACAAATTGATTTGTTGAGTATTTGCTAGTCTGCTATACGAAATACCAATTATTAATAATACTTGGAAAGATTAACTTTTAACGAAATTCAAGTTTTCAAAAGTAATTAAGAATTTATTTAAAAAATTTTGAGGTAATTCAAAATATGTAAAAAGTTAAGCCAAAATAGCCTAAAATTTTTAAAGGATGACTTTAATATAATTGACACAGCGCGTTAATTTCTTTCAATTATTCTTAGGTAAGTTTTAAAGTTATTTTAAAAAAAGTTTAAAGTCAAAGTGTTCAAATTTACCTTTATTTCTTATAAGTTTTCTCTACAGTAAATTTTCCCAAAAGTAAAAGCAAATTATGGCTACGTTCGGAAAAGTCGCTTGGAAACCCTTTTGAGTAGACTTTAGGAAGTCTACATAAAAATTGTAGACAATCATAGGGTTAAATAGAGGAAATTGATCAATCATAGTCAGATATAGGGAGCATACTCGTTTAATTTCTTATCTTCCTATTTGAGGTTTCTATGATCGTTCACTACTTCTATACAGTATAGATTAGCCTTTTTGTATAGATAAGCCTTTTATTTACTAACGATACTGTTGATTATTTATTACAATGACGAATGAGAAATAATTAATAAGTATATATTTGCAATAATTAATTAATCATTAATAAATAACACATTTGTTTACCTTTGTTTTATTCCTACAATAATTCGTTCTGATACTAAAAAAATAATCGTCGTGAATATTACAACACTTATGATTATATTCCTATCAGTTCTAAATCAGATTGAAAATTAAAAAAGCTCTATTCAAAAATATAATATTTTTTTATATTATTTTTTTTATACAATCCGTATTTATCTTGAAGTGAATGATACTCTAATCTTATCAGTATTCTGAATAATATCCTATTTTCTCAGCGTTCCTTCAAAATCTCTCTATACTTAATGCCTTGTTTTACTTAATGCCTTGTTATACATATATACTTCTTTTACTTTTTTCTCACTTTTTTTATTTTCATCAAAATCATCGCAAGCGTCCACGGATAAGGAAGAAAGGACGATGCTGTGTCACCGCGCATCTCGTTTCGCAGCAGTCCAACACTCCGCAGGGAGGAACCACCGCTGACACGTGGGCGGCGCGTATCTCGATGATTGGTCCGAACGAACTCCGCCTATCCTCGACTTCCGTTCTACGATCGCGCGAGAGAGAGTTCGGATATTACGCGGACTGAAGTTGCAAGTTCCGCGCTCGTGCGGCGTTCGAATCGCCGTCACATTACGCCGATATCACGATCATCGAATTAATGAATTGTTATGATGCATGTCAGCCTCAGAATGAGACTTCCACGACGTGACACTTGAGACTTGGACTTCAAGCCTTAAGTAATTTATATTTTTTTAAACATTGCGTCGCTGATAAAAGCACGATTGCATAGTTATCAAGCAGTCCTTGGGGAATGCTCATTTTTCAAGGGATTCGTTTTTTTGTGAACGTTCATTAAAATTATTTTTTATTTTTACAAAATAAATTTGATTCCACATTGTTTATATTTTGGTTTGCGCCAACTAAATAAAAATATTTTGTTCCATACAGTAACGCCAGCAAATACGCCGCGCTGGGATTGGAGATCATTTTCCCGCAATACTCTTACATGCCTTTATGTTTTATTAGTATAGTGTTATGATTTTAGTTTCTTACTGATAATATTATTAATTATAATAAAATTATTGTGAGTTGAATCGATTTGTCACTGTGTTAAGCGCCATCATAATCTATATAAAACGGTTATCGTAGAACGTGCAAAAGACTTAATGACAAAATTTATTTCGTGATACATGAGTATAGAGGAATAGTAAAGCATGCTGTATAACAAAATATAAGTATTTTGCTCCAATTCAAGAGCAAAATACTTATATTTTGTTATACAGTTTGTTGTCTTGTATATTCCACTTGTTTGGGATATACGGCATTTTTAGCGAGCAGGATTTATGCCCAAAAGTACGCAGATTGAATTCAGTGCACTAAATGCAATAAACGCATTACATGAAATATGTGCCTCATGTCATAACATTTGTAATACATGGGAAGATTATAATTATTATTTATTACTTCATATATTGGGTTGTCCGGAAAGTTCATGCCGATTTTTGGTAGGTGGACAGATCTGAATCAGAACGATTGAAAACAAATAACATGCGTACATATCGTAAAAGACGGTACTTCAGGCATACTTGGAAAAAAATTTGGTTACGATATGTTAATGTTGTCAGTTTTATACGCCTTTGAAAATGGAAAAAATAAAGTTTAGCATTTTAGGCATTTAATGCTTTTTTTTATCGGAAAGGCAAAAATGCCACACAAGCGGCAAGATATGCGCTGTTTATGGTGAAGGTGCTGTAGCTGAAAGAACTGTGCGGAAGTGGTTTGCTAGGTTTAAAGCTGGTGATTTCAATTTTGAAGATCAAGAACGCCCAAGTAGGCCCTTCACCACAGATTAAAATACTGTCGAGAATAACCCTACATGACACATAAATTAGCAGAAATGTTGAATATGTCAAAATCCACCATCCATGAGCATTTTGTGAAGCTTGGCTACATAAATCGTTTTGATGTATGAGTTCCCCACGATATAATGGAGAAAAATCTGATGGATCGCATTTTCATTTGCGACTCGCTCTATAAACGCAACGAGAAGACATTATTTTTGAAGCAAGTAGTGACAGGGGATGAAAAATGGATCATTTACAATAATGTTGAGTGAAAAAGAAAGCAGAATGAACCATCTTTAACCATCCCAAAAGCCGGTCTTCATCCAAAGAAGGCCATGCTCTGTGTCTGGTGGGATTGGAAAGGGATCTTATTATGAGCTTTTCAAACAACGAGAGGATAAATTCAGAGAAGTATTGTTCCCAATTAGAATTGAAGACAGCAATTGAACAAAAACGTCCAGAAATAGCGAATCGGAAGGGCGTCGTGTTTCATCAGGACAATGCGCAGCCTCATGTGTCTTTGATAACTCGACAAAAGTTGTTGAAGCTTATTTGGGATGTTCTACCCTATCCATCATATTCACCAGATCTCGCGCCCTCTGATTTCCACCTATTTCGATCATTACAAAATTCCTTTAATGGAAAAAGCTTTCTTTGGTCGAAGTAAAAAATCACTTAGAAAAGTTTTTCGCTGAAGAACCTGAGAAATTCTGGAAGGACGGAATTTTCAAGTTGCCTGAAAGATGGAGAAAGATTGTAGAACAGAATGGCACCTATATAATTTAATAAATGTATATTAAAATTTAAATCTTCTGCGTTTCAATTTTCCTTCAAAATCGGCATAAATTTTCCGGACAACCCAATACATATTTATCATTTTTATTCCTTAATAAAATTTTATAAACGCATTTTATAAGTTATTGTGTCATTTATATGCGTCTTAATTTATATGCATTATTTGTAAATTTTTCATGAGTCATACATATCTCCTCCTCCTATAAGTAGCCATATATCTCACTTCTATGGAATATAACTTGTAATATATGGCAAAAATGCAAGAGTTTAAAAAAGTTCATTTTCAGATTTCTAATATTTTTTTCATAATAGTAAACAGTACAAAGTTTTTATTGATATAGTTCGTTTACTTTAAACGTAGTAAATAATACTTAATTAAGTTTTTGATAGATGCAGCGTATATATGAATTATCCTATACAAAACAGGCAGATATTTATCCGTTATTGCATTATACGTCGCGGTGGCAGTCATAAATAATAAATTATATAAATTATAAAACTTTGTAATATAAAGGTACATGGCATGCGAGAATGGAATTATATTATACATTATATATTAAAAATAGTCTGCTTTTACTGGTAATAGCTACTAATGTTGAATGAAACAATTTCAATCAAATGTTCAATTAATAAAAGCAAAAATAATTTGTCTAAATATATATTTAATAAGTATTAAACGTAATAATATAACCAAACGTTTGATAATACTTACTACATATTTAGAAAAATAAAATAATTTTTCATTATATTAACCAAACATTTGATTGGAATTATTTCATTTAATATTGGTAGCTATTACCAGACCTTTTTCAGTAAAATTTATCTTAAAATTTGTCTACATACAAAGAGAAATTTCTATATATTTTATTTTCTTAATTCATGTAATTTCAAATAAATCGCTTTCAAACATGATTATTTTGATAATGAGATTATTTTAGTTTGTAGATTTTAAAACACGTTTCGAATAGATATTTAAAAAATTTTTATCAAACTCTAAAAAAAGATAACCGGGGATTTATTTACATAATATTTAATTACATAAGAAGGCAATCGGAAGTCGAGTAACCTGTCCTATTCGCTACTCGAGCTTCTTACGTTTCATGTTTTTAATTATTTTAATGCTGGTCTAAATGCAGTCAATGGAAAATTAAATATAACAATGGCAATGAAGAACAAAAATAAAGCCACAAAATAATGACGGATAATAAGTAAATTTAATCGCCACTTTCCCGCCACAAACAATCCAGTTCTTAAGATAAACATTCGTTATCATATTCGTCAAGAACACAAAATAAATTGAAACAAGCGAAAACGCGGGTAACTTAAAATATATAAGTTTTTAACTGAAAATCTATCAGTTGCTTTGTAATCGTTATTAAATACAAATTAAATTAAATAAAACGCGAGGTTGCTCGAATTCTTTGATACAGAACAGTGTAGCAAATGAATCATTAATTTCAATTTATCTAA